AAAGAGCACCCCATATTTTCATACAGTCCCTTTGTAGGGGGCTTGTTGGAATTCATCCTCAAGTCTTGGACGAGCTAGGCAAGTGCTCTGCCTCTCTAGGCTCTGGAGCCCTACCAGGCCACTCTGCGACATAAATAAATAACAAATTTTAAAAAGCCATGTGAATGAAGCTAGTTGTCTTGGCAAAGGCTTTTAATCTCAGCACTGGGGAAGCTGAGGCAGAAGGGTCGAGTTTGAGGACAGCTGTGACTGTATAGTAAATTCAAGGCCAGCCTGGAGGGAGACCCTGTCTCAAAAAGCCAAAAACAAAAGACAACAAACAATAACAAACTCCAAGTGAATTCCAAAAATTTATGAAAAACCAAATACCTAAATTTCAAAAAAAGACAGGATCCAACCCTGTCCAAGGAGTTGCCTCACTTTGCCTGGTTTCTGCCAAATGCCAAGACAGGGAGAAGGATAGGGCCCCGTGACATCTCCCTTTTGTCTGCCTTGGCTTCAGCAAGGTGGTCCCAGGTGGGTCTCAGTGTCCCGTAGGAATCAGGCCTCTGCCCCATTTCCCTGGGTCCCAGGTCAGAACCCTGCACGAGACCTAGGGCAGTGGGAGAGGCTGGTGGGAGGAAGGCTTCGATGCCCCTCACTTGCCTGCCATTGTCCCCAGCTGGTGGCTGGTGTCAAGTACTACCTGACCATGGACTTGGAGAGCACAGCATGCCGGAAGACCAGGGTCTCCGGAGACCACATGGACCTCACCACCTGCCCCCTGGCCACAGGGGTGGAGCAGGAGGTAAGAGTGATGTCCCATGCCCGGGCCCTGTGCGGAGCCTGAGGCCCCTCAGCTTGGCCACCCTGAGCTGGTCTGGCTGGCCAGGCGGAGGCCTGGCTGAACCTGCCCAGCCTTGGTGACTCAACCTCCAGGCCTGTGTGTGGCCCAGGGAGGCGAGGCTGGGGCTTCCCCAGGGCTGGGAGTTGGCTGGAAACATCTGGGAGCTGGATCTAGCTCTGGCCACCTGACTCCATGTCCATGTCGCTCAAGCCAAGGAATGCCCATCTCTGCCCCCGAGCGTGGTGGCAGGCAGAGGGCTGGGTGCTGGGAGGAGGCTGGGGCGGGCTCAGCCCTCCTTGTCTCCCATGCCGTCTCCACAGAAGCTGCGCTGTGACTTTGAGATCCTTGAAGTCCCCTGGAAGAATTCCACCGAGCTTCTGAAGCACAAATGTATGCAGCAGTGACTGACCCCAGGGCCAGCACCAGAGGGGCTGCACACAGGGTGGAGGGCACTGCTGGGCCCCAGGCCACATGGGCTGCAATAAACAACCAGCGCTGCTTCTTGCATTGGTGTCTCCCGTGTGCTTCACTGCTTCCCCTCCTGATCCCCACTCCTGCTCCTAGTGGCTTCCAGGACACCCAGGCACCCCCAGGGCAGCTTCTGCTGTCTGCCCAGCAGGCCAAACAGCCCAGCATCACACCACGGAAGCACAAACCTCCAGAGCCCCAAACAGCCAGAGCTCCCAACAGGGTCTGTGGTAGGGAGGCAGTGGGAGACTGGCATGAGAAGGATGATGTCCCCCGCCTGGCCTAGGATAGTGTCTGTGAGTGCTCTGCGGGGAACATGTGCCCTGCTGTTCTCGGCAGTGAGGAGCAGCTTGGGGTTCAGCTGTGGGGTTCAGCTTGGCTCACCCCAAGGACACCGATCTCCCACCCACACCCCCCTTCCCAAGCCTGCATGTGGCCCAAAGCCCAGCACCTGTCCTGCAGCTCCCTGGGGCCAGGAGGCCACGAGGCCAGGGCAGTGCTTCTCATGTCCTCACTGTGGCCCACGCACCAGGGGGACTCTCCCATGCCTTGTCCCAGGCAAGGCCCCTGCAGGTGCTTGCCCAAGTGAGTAAGCTCAGATCTGCTGCCCACAGAGGGAGGATTCTCAGAGGAGGGATAGGTTTGCTTTAACATCCTCTAAGGGAAACAGAGTTGCGACATTTTTGCCACTGGCATTTGTGGTTGCAATCCCAAGTCTCCCATGTGCACACGCACAGTCAGGTAGATCTAGACACCACGGAAGTATTATGGAAACCACCATCACCCACCGGCTAGCTACCCAGAAGGCCAGGTGAACAGAGCAGGGGTCCACCCCAGGGACGTGACCTGGAGATATGTACCAGACCCCAAACACCCAGGCTGGTGCCCCAGGTGCCATGCCCAGAGGGTTCCTCAGAGACACCAGTGCATACCCATGCCAGGGACAGGACACAGTAACCATATGCGTTTGGAGCCCTGGATGTTGGCAGAGTCAGGCTGGGGCCAGCAGCCTAAGGGTGACATGGGGAGCACTCCTTCTGCCCTTTTCTGCTGTCCACGCACCCTCTCTTCCAAGCAAGACCTCACACACCACCAGACCTCACGTACCGCCATTCCTTCTCAACCCCTGCCCAATTCTTGCCCCTAAGGCCCTACCTGCTACCCCTGGAAGCCATATCTGGGTAGCATTGAAGAGAGGGTAAAGGGAGACTTGAGCGTCACTTGGAGTGTGAGTAGCTGACGGTTTGTGTTTGACAGGGACACAGGATTTTTTCCAGCCCTGCTTCTGTTGGAGCCTATCAGCTTGGCAGTTCAGACAGCCCAGAGTTTTTGTTGCTGCCTCGGTAAGTGTCACCAAACAGGAGGCTCCTGCCTGGGGCTCGTAGAGGTAGCTGGCAGGAAACGAATGCTTGTTGAATGAATGTGTGAAGTCTTGGGGTGAGGCATGGCCCAGGGATATGTGTCTAGTGACTTCTCCATCTGTAGAATCTGTGCCCAGGTCCCCAGTGGCATTTCCTCTGTACTGTCTATTCCTGGGCCTCAAGCTAGCTGGTGCCCTTGGCCAGGCCAGGGAGGAGAAGAGAAGCTGCTTATGTCCTGAGGCCTTGTGGGCTGGCTGCACTGCTATGTGGTTCAGCCCAGAAATCTGTGTATGTGTGTGTATATGGGAGGGTGTTCGTAAAACCATCACACCCTGGATTGGTCTTCACTAATGGCGAAATAGTTGTAGTTGGTGGAAGACTCCCAACCTTGGATGGGGAATTCTGGCCTCTGGCCTGGGCTTGACCATGGCCCAGTGCTAGGTCTGCAGTGCCAGCACAGGCCAATGTCCCACCACCAGCCTAGTGTGGACATGGGCTCTGGGCATCCTGCCTATGGTCAGGCTGTAAAGTAAGCTCTAGACCAGGGAGGCTGGGATCAGCCTTCAACCTCATTCCCTGTGGCCCTTCCCAACTGCAGTGGACTCTCTGACAGCCCCTACCCACACCCGCCCTGAGGTCAGAAGGACTTGAATATCCTCCCCCAGTGCCTCATCTGGGTTCATTAGTCTAACTTCAGGCAAGGAAGGGGTTGGCTGTGACATCTGATCTCTGGTTTCTTTTTTTGTTTTGTTTTGTTGCTTTCAGACAAGGTCTTGCTGTGTAGTCCAAACTGGCCTGGACCTCACTGTGTAGCCCAAGCTGGCCTTGAACTTGGGGCAATCCTCTTGCCTTAGCTTTCAAAGTGCTGGGATTACAGGTGTGTGCTGAGTCTGCTCTTGACTTCTGGATTCTTGATATTCCCGCTGGCATCTTTATACCAGATGTGGAGATCCTGGGTTCTGAACCACATTTTGTTTGTTTTTAATTTTTTGTTTTTTTGAGACAGGGTCTCACTATGTAGTTGAGACTGACCTGGAACTCACTATGTAGCCCAGGCTGGTCTCGAACTCACAGCAATCCTCCTGCCTCAGCCTCCCAAGTGCTGGGATTACAGATGTGTAATCCCTGGCCTGAACCATATTCTTGGTGTTGCAGAAGGAATTGGCAAGTGACATGCACATAGAGATGAGCTGAATGAAAGTAAAATAATAAAAAGTTTATTTGCCAGTAAAAGTCAAATCACACTCAAAAAAGCAGTGATCGACTCCCTATTAGATTGCAGCTCCCCTTTTATAGGTTTTACAGCCATGATCTGATCTCATTCAGATGGTTACATTTCATTTCCTCAGTTCATATTACCCACGTATAAATTACGGTAACAAGACAATTAACTTTAACCCAGACATAACAATTCCTTGTAGTTGGGGAGTTTACCTCAAGATTCATCTAGCTATCTATTCTAGTGCACAGGAAGCGGGTATTCAAGGATAGGGATGAGGCCAGATGTCCCATTTCATGGTCAATGCCTCCATCGTCTGTCTATTTTGAACTCAACAAAGTAGATTGCTGTCAGAGACAGCAAAAGTCATTTTACGTTTTTCTAACATTTTGTAGGTTTTTAGATTATTTACAAAAGTTTTTTGTATCCCCCCCCCTTTTGGCTAACTCCTTACTCCTTGTTGAATTTATACCAATTATATCTAATGGGTAGCTGAGTAAGTGGTACATAGTAAGCTTTATTGGCTCTAAGGGCAGGTCACTCATGATGCCAATTGCCTGATAAGACATCATGGTGAGTGGGGCACAAGTCCAGCAGAGACTAATTCCTGGTCTGCTGTAGCAGCAGTGAATGAGTTCCATCAATTAAATCCATCATATCTATTCCTATATAATTCTTTGGATGTTCTTTTAAGATATTTTGTATTTCCTGCAGCACAGGAGTTTTTGTTTTTCTGTTTCTGGAAAAAAAGAAAAACATCTGGGGGATTCTTCCAGACCTTTTAAATCTGTAGAATCCATCTTTTTAAACTCTGAGGCCCATGTCTAGCAGTTGACTGATATCCAATATAAACATGAAAAATTATTGCCTGTAGCTGGCTTGCTTTCCAAGGCCAAGCTATATACATTTTTAAAGGGTTATATTGTCCCTTTTTGCAGTTATCACAATTGCCAGTACTTCTGATCACAGTAGAACTGTTTAACGATATTGAGTTTTATCTGAACAATACATCTTTTTTGTGTGTAAATCCCCCACATTGAAGTATGGTACCAGAGTTTCCATGATGTTCTTGTGGGCAGGCATTAAAAAGAAGTGTGAGGGGATGTCCTTCCAGTTCCCATTTGACAATTTTAAAGGTCACATTTTAAAATCAAATTTATCATTGTTAGGCTTACAAACTCTTAATTCAAAACCAAAACAATGCATAACCGCTTGACACAATTAAAGAGTCCATAATATCTTGATTGCAATCCTCATTTTTCGGCCGTATCTGGACTCACCAGCTTCCGGTGTGGTGAGAGCAGGGCTTTGAGTACGCTGTCTCCTGGAGTTGAAGTCCGTGAAGTTCTCTGGATAAGCTTGTTTCACTCTAGAGTGGTGAATCCACAGCGGACTTCAGCCACCTTGACAGCTGTGGGAGTAACTATAAGTACCTCATGTGGTCCTTTTTATATAAGTTGCAAAGGGGTCTTTTTCCAATTTTTAACATAAACTCAGTCCCCCAGTTTTGTCAGGTGGGCAGGGTCAGCACAGGGAGGACCTCTTTATCTGAGTGTTTTATAGCAGCTACGGGCCTTTGTATCTCCAGCTGAAGTCTCTGTTTAGCTGCCTTTTTGGCTTCTATATGTGCCTTAGCAGTGCCTTTTGCTATTTCAGCTTTTCCTTTTTGGTGTCCAGAGCAATGCATCACTGCTACTTTATCAGGTTCCCACACTGCTGCCAATAACTGTATTATTTCCTGTTTATTTTTAATCTGTTTGTCCTCCACTGTGAGAAGATCATGTCCTTTATATAGTATACCATGAATATGTAGGGTAGCAAAGGCTTAACAGAAGTCTGTATAAACATTTACCCTCTTTCCCTTTCGCACATTGGAGAGCCTGTATGAGCGCCCATAGCTCCACTCGCTGAGCCAACCATCCAGTAGGGAGGGGTCTTGTTTGGACCACTTCATCTTGAGTCATCACTGCATAGCCAGCATAGTGTACCCCATTTTCCATGAAGCTGCTCTCACACATGAACAGGATGAAATCAGCGTCAGGCAGTGGTTTTCTGCAGATCCGGGTAACTCGAGAACAACTCATTGGTGAAGCTTAGGCAGTCGTGGTCAGGGGGTCAGGTTCTGAGGGCAAAAAGGTGGTGGGAATCGAGGTTTTAACTGGGAAAAAACATAGACAGGGGTTCTCACAGATAAGGGCCTGATATTATGTGACTGTATTATTTGAGAGCCACTGATGTCTCTGTTATTCAACAGTTCTAGAAAGGCATGGGGAACCTGAAAAGTCCATTCCAGTCCTAAAGTTAGCTTGTCAGCTTCCTTAATTAGCATAACTGCAGCTGCCAGAGCTCACAGAAAGGCGGCCACCCCCTTTAATAACTCTTTGTTTTTCCATAGAAAATATTATATATATATATATTTTTTGTTTGTTTGTTTCCAGCTTTAACTGAGTTTATTGGTACATTTTAGGTATACAGTACAGTTGCATTCATTGTTGGGATCTTGTACCTTTACATGACAAGTCTTGGTTCTCATTTTTTCCCCTTACCCCTGCCCTCCCTTCACACCCTCCTCCCCTCCCCATCTACAAACACTTTATTTCCATCTTTTCATTTTGAAAATGACCATCATAAACATATCACAATATCATATTTAGAATTTAACCCTTTGATGATAACCAGTGTAAACATTTTATAACAACATATTTAAGTAATATTCATTGATTTGTAAGTGTGTTTATGCCTGTAAATGCAATCTTTTATAAGTAACTTGAAACCAACAAGCAAACATATATATTTCCTTGATAAATCACTTCTGCATACCTTCTTGATATACCTAGGCCTTCTGGTCTTGTATATCTCTCTTTATCCTTCTCACAAGACAAACATACAAAATCCTTTTATATCAAAAGTATATTTCTTTTACTTACAGCCTTCTTTTTTTTTTTTTAAGACAGGGTCTCACTATGTAGTTGAGACTGACCTGGAACTCACTATGTAGCTCAGGCTGGTCTCGAACTCACAGCGATCCTCCTGCCTCAGCCTCCCAGTGCTGGGATTACAGGCATGCGCCACTGCGCCCAGCTACAGCCTTCTTAGTATATAACAAACCTCTTCAGCTGTTAAAATTTTAAAGTGTCCCTTTTTTTCCTTCTGTTTTCAGATTGTTACATTTTAAAATTTGACTGGCTGCCAATAGAACAGTATTAACCTTGAGTTCTTCACCAACAAAGTGCAGAAAAGAGCAAGTTAACCCTATAATCACAATTTAAGAATTTGCAGTGCACAAGAAAAAAATTGTAAGCACATCAATCAAACATCATCTCCAATTGAAACAAAGATACATTTATCAATTAGTTAAAATTTGTAGCTTGATTTCTCTTGTAAAATCTCTTGATGTCTGATTGCAGTTGCAGTTTCTCTGGCTTTGTTTTGGATTCCAGACCTTTGCAGGAAGCATCAGGCTGATAACACAGCGCTGGCTTTTAGGATCTTAAAGCCTGGAGTGTTTTTACTTTCTATTTTGCTGTATACTTTTCAGAGCTTTCCTAACTGTTTTCAATGCATTACTTATTTTCTCATTTTAGTTCTTTCCAAGCTGAGTGCAAGCCCTGCTTAACTCTTTGAGCCTGACCATGGCACTAAAGCCAAGTGGTTCTTTTTATGTTTTTGCCCCCACCTCTTTCGCACCTGTGATCTTAGCAACTCAAGTGGAGAGGGAGGCAGCTTGACCTCCTCCAAAGGGGAAGCACTGGGATTTGCCTGTAAGGATGTCACATTTTCTGAGAGAGGCAAGTCCACCGTGTGAAAAACAGCAGATTTGGCAAGCAGTTGTTCTAAGACCAAAACTAAACAGTTCTCATAAGCAGCTGATTGTTGCAGAGCAGAAGCTTGAGCAGCTCTGGGGCTGGGTTGTTCAGGCCACAAAATGTAACACACAAGGCTCCAAGTTGTCAAAGTCTCAGTTAAAAACAAAGGGAGATGACTTTTCTTTTGTCTAGAGTTCTCTGGGAGCTAAGACTGGCTTAGCTGAGGCTAGGATTGTTTGATATTCCCTTGTCCAGTGACACAGGACAAAGGGTAGGTATCACTCACATGTTTGCTGGTCTGGCCATGGGGTCTCTCAACCACTATCAGCCACATCAGAACTAAGGGACACTGTCCCATTAGTGTTCTGTTTTGTTTAGACTTTAGCCATGGAATCAAGGAAACAGGCCACACTCAAGCTCCACAACTTGGGGAGGGATCTTTAAGCATAAACGTCCCCTCCCTTTGTCTTAGTGCACAGATGAGGCTACCAATTGTTTTTGTAGCTTGTTCCACTCACTCTCCTAACTGAATCTCTTTCACACACGCAATCACACAAGAAGTTAACATATTCCCTCCCTGGGACCCCTTACAAAGCACAATACAAAGCACAATAACAAATTGAGGGCAATCAAAACCCTCACAAATGGCGAAGAGTGTAGGATGATTAGGCCTGCACTCTGTCCCAAATTGAGGATATAAATCCTCACAAACGGCCTAGAAGGGAGGGTAATCAGGCCTCCAACCTGTATTCTGCCCAAATGTTCAATTAAGAACCAAAACAAAAGGAAAACAAACTAGGGATTGCCCAGGGAATCTCACCATTCAGACAGATGATTTCTTCACTTGCCTTCTTTCTGCTGTCTCTGTTCTCCGGGTTCGAGTGATCTGCTGCTGGTAAGTTGGCCTCCGAGTGCTAGAAAGGGAACCCAGGAAATCCTGAGGAGCACCTCTCTTCCCTTCTGAGGAGGCAGATGGCCGCTCCCTCTGGTGGGATTCGGGTTGAAGCCCAATATGGGCCATGCGAGTTAACCCTTTCCTTCTCAGCCAATGCACCAAATGTTGTGGAAGGAATTGGCAAGGGACACGCACATAAAGAAGAGCTAAATGGAAGTAAAATTAAAAGTTTGTTTTGTCAGAAAAGGGCCAATCACTGGCACTGCCTTTTTGAATACGACTGACACTTTTCTTACAAATGAACTTTTTTTAAAACTTCCATTCACCTTATCTCTATGTGCATGTCACTTGCCAGTTCCTTCTGCAACATTGGAACTTAGTGGTTCCCCAGCCCATGATAACCTGAGCTGTTCCAGTCTGTCTTCTATCTTTCTTTCTCTATCTCTTTTTCTTTTCTTTTCTTTCTTGGGTACCAGGGATTATACTCTTCATTTTGTTATTTTTCACATGACCCCTGAGCCAGAAGGGTTTTCTCCCCTAAGTAGGGTACTGCCCACAGCCCCTCCTCCCCAGCACCACCAGTTATTGAGCCAAGCACATTTTTTGCATTACTTCTCTGGCTGCTGCTAATGCACTGTGGGTCTGAGAATAGTCCAAGAGGGGACAGGAACAGCGTCTTGTGCATGAAAACCATACACAGCTTCCCCTACCCTATGTTTTAGCCCAGCCAGTGAAGACATATGGCCATCTGGTTTGTTTGTGTTTTATTTTTTAAATTTTGAGATGGGGTCTTACTAAGTTACTAAGTCGTCCAGGCTGGTCCTGAACTTTCAATCCTCCTGCCTCAGCCTCCTAGAGTGTTGGAATTACAAGCATGTACCACCATAGCAGTTTCCATCTGGGGTTTTAAGACTTTATTGCGACCCCAGCCCAGCAAGGGCCCAAACAATCCAATAGAGCTGGGGGACTTGTCCAGACCCACCGTGGTGGGCAGCTTGGCAGAGGCTCATGTCTACACCTGATGCTGGTCTCCAGTGTCACTTCTTGAAGTCCTCTGGTGGGAAGAGGAATGTGAATAAGCCAGTGCCAGCCCTTGCCAATGCCTGGTGACTGTTACCCATTGTGATTTCTGGGCAAGGGCCCCCAAGGTCTTTTCTCCCTTCTCCTCCCTGCATCCTACCTGGTTCACTTCAAATGTGGTGTCAACAATCTCATCAATGACACGCGCTGCAGAAGAGAACTTCTTCCGGTGATGGTCCAATCTAGCCACCAGCTTCAGGAATTGGGCCTGGACCTTCCACTGCCTATGGGGAGTGGGGTGTGCAAAGGCAAGGGTTGGGCTTGCTGGCCTCATGTGACTTCTGGGTCCCCCAGAGCCCTCCACATGGTTCTTCTTGCCAGTCTTCCCCGGAAACTTATCCTAGACCTCCATTTCCAACGTGTCTCCTTTTCAACACCTCAAAGAAGTCCCCCATGTCTGCTTGAATGATGGAGGCTTCTGGCATTTGTTTACCCTCCCACCCAGCCATTCCTCCACTTACCCATCCACAAGCTCATCTGCTTGTCCCCTTATCTGGCCCAAGCCTCTGCACTGACCCATTCAACAGTGTCCCCATTCAGTCATCCTCCCACCCATCCCACCGCCCATTCACCGTCACCTGCCTCTCTACCCACTCACCCTTCTCTCCACCCACCAAGCATCATCTACACCTTGACCGCGCTGCACTAAACACCCACCCGTGCACCCATTCCTCACCCACACTTTTGTTGACCCCTTGGTTCTTATTAATCCCCCCAACACAGTAGAAAAGATAAGGAAGGTGCTCCAAAGATGGAGAGATGAACAGGAAATAGACTTTAAAAGCCCTTAGAGTTGAAAAAAAAATGAAAAAAGAAAATAAAAAAGCCCTTAGAGCCAGACAACCAACACCTGTGATTCTTGCAAACACGAGGTACTGAGGGCCTACAGGAGGGAAACCTCAGCCAGTGCTTCCAGGGAGAACATTATTGAGCTGAGCTCAGGAGGGTTTGCCATGCCTGAGCACAGCTCCCGAGGACAAAAACCACAGGGAGCAGAGCTGTGGGCCTGGAGCAGCTTGGAAGGCATCCAGGGAGTGTCAAAGCAAGGAGCCGGAGAGGGGGAGCATTTAAACCTGGGGGAGGGGAGTAGGGAAAATGAAAACTACACTGAAAGACTACTCTTAGCAGAGAGACCAGTGGGGATGGCATCCCCAAGAAAACAGGGCAGACACGCCAAGAGCCAGACCACGGTGGGGGCCCGGGCCTTGAGGATGAACAGAATGCTCAGTGAGGTGACGTGAGCTGGGACTGGAACTGACTATTCCTGGTCACCTGAGCCTGGCATCAGAATCCAGGCAGAGAAAGCAAAGCAGGCAAAGGCCTGGAAGTAGAGATGTATGTGCCATGCTCGGAAAGAGTGTGGACAAAGAAAGGGCAGCAGTGGCTGCGATGATGTGAGCGAGGCCAGCGCGGGCCTGACCACGCAGGACCCCGAAGCCTGGCCCGCAGAGCTGGGACTGTTGTGCAGAGCCGAGCCCAGAGGAGGGCAGCCCTTAGGCCTGCCCGGCCTGCTGGTGTGCAGCGAGGCTGGAGTGCCTTGAGTGGAAGAAGCTTTCAGACAGAAGGATCCCAGGGGTGCCTAGCCTGAGGCCCAGGAAACAGGAACTCGTGCCAAGGACCCACTCCCAACACGAGTCTCATGGAGGCTGACTGTCTGGCCACCAGACCTCTACCCACACAGTCCTTCCCGCCCTCGTCATCCGTCTGCCTAGCAAAAGTCTGTTCAGTCTCCATGGCCCATGACGGGTCCTTAGAGGTGGGACCCCCAGGGGCAGGGATGGGGTCACTGTCCTCTTTGTGTTCCTGGGGTGCTCAGTGAGCATGGCCATGACAAGAGTCAAAATGCTTCTCGAGTAGAGAGAGCAGAGTCCCTATCCCTGGGGTGGTCTGCATGGTGCAGCAACTCTAGGTGAGCAGCGGTCGCTCATGGTCTCTGCATCTCATCTGTAACAGGCAGATAAGGCTTGGCCTGAAGAAGTACAGTGGGCAACAGAAGCATGGCATCTCTGCCTTCATTTTATATCTGTCTCCTTTATTACCCTAAATCCCTGGGTCAGATCTCTGCTCATCTCTGCCTGTAGACGTGTTAATTGGTTATCCACACAGTGTCTGTCTAAACACTGCTAATACAAGGTTGATTAGCCCTAAATCTACCTGCCCTTATCTCCTCTCCCTTGAAGGCTAAAGACAGCAAGACAATAGCAACTGATTCTTAGAATTTGTAGGGACATCCAATTGCCAGTTTTCACAATGTCTAGTTCTGTCCCTCCCCCCATCAATGCCTAGAGGTCTGTAGTCATTGTCCTAAACCGGCAGTCACCTCGGATTATAAGAAAAGCAGACCCTTAAAGATCACAACGTGATGAGGTCACCTCCCCAAGAAGCAACAATTATCCCAGGATGAGAACCTAGGTTGCTGCTCAAATTGGCCTCTCAAATGATGATGGCTGAGGTAAGGATCTGACATAACAAACTGCTAGACTGGACTAGGATTACTGATGCTGCCAGCTCTGCAAATCCTAGCTCTGCAAACCCCCAGCCCTTGCTTTTTATACCACTTTGTAGTAAACCTCAATGCATCTGTCAGTCTCTGGAAGCCAGATCTTGAAGTTCTTTATCTGTTTTCTCGGCATGGCCATGCTGATTAAGACTCCATTTCTGGGCTGAGGAGTTAGCTCAGTTGTTTCACTGCCTACCTTGCAAGCAGAAGGTCCTAAGTTCGATCCCCAATACCAAAAAAAAAAATAAAAAATAAATAAAAAAAATAACAAACAAACAAAATCCAAAAAGCAAAATTCCGTTTCTGCCCTTCATCGCTCATCTCTCACAGTGGCATTTTGGAACAGAAAGCCAGGTAAGCTTGCTCCACTGGGACCCCAGGGGGACCTGGAGCTTTTGCCCTGAAGTTCTATAATACAGTCATGGTCTTGGAAGTAAGCCTTATCACTCCATTCAGAGAGGCAGCAACACACCTCTCCCTCCCAGCCAGCCAGCCCGCTACTGTGCCCAGACCTCTTAACGTAGACCTGAGGCCTCCCTCCCTGCATCCTCACGTCTCAGTCATTGTCCCAAGCTTCTTCATGAACTGCATGTTGTCCTCCTCACTCTTTACCTCCTCGGGCTCTGGATGGAGAAAAAGGGGATAAGGGTGGGGTGGGAAGATGCCCAGATTTGGAGGGAGCAGAGGAACCCCACTGTCACGAGGTACAGAGAAGGCTTAAGAGACTTTCATTCGATGAGGTGCTTCTTTGGGCATGGAGTATATAGTGGTTTTGTTTGTTTATTTTCTGCCCAGCATCCATTCTCTTTTTATTTATTCATCATGATTATTATTATTTGATGGGGTGCTGAGGCTGGAACCCAAGACTTTCTCGCTTGGCAAGTGCTCCACCACTGAGCCATAACCCATCCTCATTCCCTCTTCTAGTAAGAGTACCAGTTTGCTGCTTGTGCAGGCCTATGCCTATAATCCCAGAACTGAGAGAGGCTGAGGCAGGAGGATTGAAAGTTCAACTCCTGCTTGGCCAATTTAACAAGACCTTGTCAAGAAAGAAAGAAAGAAAGAAAGAGAAAAAGATGAGATAGAAAGAAAAAATAAATAAAAGTCTGGGGATGTAGCTCAGTAGTAGTAGAGCACCCCTGTGTTCTATCCCCAATACTGGAAATAAAACAAAATAACAATAACAAGCACCCAGAAGACGTGTCCTAGTTTTCCTGAGGAGCTGCCCCTACCACTGTTTGGTTCATGTTGTTTAGCTGGGGTTGGTCTTTTCCCAAGGTCTCAGGATACGTAGTTGTGGAGTCACAGCCCACAGTGATTTATTCAAAACCACACAAGTAATTTGTTTCATCAGAACAAAGGAGGCCAATAGCTGGGAGTTTGTTGGGACTGCTGGGAGAAGAGGAACAGTTTCTCCTGAGAGGGTTAGGGATGGCTAAAATGTAAGGACCTGGGACTAGAGTTACAAGTGACCATTTTACCACCACACAAGGAGAGAATTAGTCTAAAACAAAACCACTCAGAGGACTACAGAAAGAAATATAGAAGAGACTATATCCTGATCATTATTTGAGTCTCGGATCCAGTCATTCCAGAAAGCTCATACACCTCTAATGTGCTAAGTAATGAGGACCAATTAATTTCTTCTTTTGCTTAAGTTATTTAGTATTGTTCTTTTTTATATTTATTTATTTATTTGTTGTACTGAGGATCGAACTCAGGACCTTGTACTTTTGAGGAAAGCAGCAGCACACTGAGCTAAATCCCCAGCCCTTTGTACTGTTCTTGATGGAAAGTGTCCATGAGGGTCCCCTGCTGATCTTAGAATGGGATTCTGGAACTGAGATTCTAAGGTCCTGGTGATCTTTAAGTCAAAAGCAAACCATCTGGTTCAAAATTGGTGCATCCTAGCTGGGCGTGGTGGCGCACACCTATAATCCCAGCACTCAGGAGGCTGAGGCAGGAGAATCACTGTGAGTTCTAGACCAGCTTGGGCTACGTAGTGAGTTCCAGGTCAGTCTCAACTACATAATGAGACCCTGTCTCAAAAAAAAAAAAAAACAAAACCCACAAAAAACAAAAAACAAAAACAAAAAAAAACCCCAAACAACAACAACAACAACAACAACAACAAAAACAAAATTGGTGCATCCTGAAAGCCATGTGTGAGAAAAGAACCATACATACAGGGAACTTCATTCTTATAGACTCTCTGTCTGTGTCAAGTGACTCTGGACAAGTACATGTAACCTTGACTAAACCACAAAGTCAGTCAAAATCATCCCATGGAAGATAAGCTGCTGTGAAATTAATATATTACTGACAGAAATGGTTTAATAAATCATAATTTGGCGAACCGGTTGTTTTGCAAGTGGGTCTTTCAAGAATTAATGATGAACTTAACTGGCTTTTGGAGGACGGTTGTGGACTCCTTTGAATCAAAGTTCTAAGCGCTGAAAGTCTTCCATCATCTCAGGTTCGAGAGCGCTAAGACTGGGCCTGTGAGTTTGTGTCTGGCTGTGAAGGAGGCTGGGTGGAAGGAGGTGGGAGGCCCCATACCTGCTTGGTTAAGCTCCGTTAGGGAGTCATCCAGCAGCTTCTCATGGATCCAGGCGGTCGCCTGGGGAGAAGAGGCCTCAGTCCAGCTGGAGTCACCTGTCCCCATGGCTGGAGCACCCTGGGCCCACCTGTTTCCTTGTTCACCCCATTTGATACCTCCTGCTTCACTTTTTCTTCGTCTCTGAGCAGGGCCATCTGGAAGTTATCCACCAGGACAGCGGTCAACAGGCTGGGTGAGGGGACAATGAGGTGCACTTAAGGAGGAGGCCAGAGGAGAGGCCCCAGCACCCTCTAGAGTTCAGCACGGCATGACAGGGTTCCCAGGGGCTGGATGGGGAGCAAGGTGGAGGCCAGGCAGCACAGCAGGGTCCTCACTTGAGGAAGATGATGTTTTGGATGAAGATGTAGATCATGAGAAAGGGGATGATATACCAGGCGCCTGGGGGAGGGCAGAGAGGTGGTCAAGCCAGGCAGCTACCTCCCACCCCCACTTCACCCCTGCTGTCCTTCTACAACCACATCACAGGCGGGGTCTCCGAGGCCCTGCCCTCGGCCCACCCTGGGCTCGGCTGTCCATGTAGATGAGGGACCAGTCATCCAACGTGAGCACAGTGAAGAGGGTGAACATAGTGGTGAAGAAGTTCTCGAAACGCCAGGGATCTGATCTTCGGAACAGTATCAGGATCATAGAGAAGAACACTAGCTGTTCAGGAACAAAGCAGGCTCCAGTCCCCTGCCCCTGTTTCCCTCTCCTGGGCTAGCCCTCCCCTCCCCCTCCCCCCATTACCCTGTCCCAGCCTCATGGCACAGGATACAGAGGCAGGAAAATATGAGGATGAAGATAGTTATGATGGACAGCAAGGAGCCGACCAGGGTCCCTGTCACTTCTTTGAGGCTGGTGAGGATTCTGTGAATAGAGGTAGAGAGGAGACTGAATCAGGGTGCGCCGGGCAAGGTTCTGTGCCCAGCAGCCAGAGCTGGCTAAAAACACGCAGCGGTGTGGGTGGGATGGTATCCTTGATTTGCCAAGCGACTTGGGTGAGTCCTGGCATTTCTCTGGAACATAAAGAGATGGATCCTGACAACAGATCCCAGAGGAACACTTTCCAAACAGGCTGCAGCCACCCCTTCTCTCCCCCTTGAGCAGGTCACAGCAGATCCCTTGGGAATCCAGGTCTGTGTCCCCTCTTCCTTTAGGCCTCCCCACACCAGAACAAGCAGCCATGACCATGCCGACCTGAGCCTCCGCACGATCCGGATGGCCCTCAGAGCCCTCATGATCTTTAAGACCTTGAGAATCCGAAAGAGGCTGTGGTTGTAGAAGGAGAACAGGGAGTTGACTTGCATAAGTGAGAAGTCCAGCACAGACATGATCATGACGAAAAAGTCTGAGGGTAGAGGGTGTGTGAGCAGGGATGCGACTGCTGGGCCCTAGGCCGAGACCCATGGGCTCCCAGAACCAACTCCCAATCCCTGCCCTTTTCCATCCTCAGCTCCTCCCGGGCAGTTCAGGGCAACCCACCCCAACCCCATTTTCACCCACCCAGATTGTTCCAGGGATCGTAAAAATACTCCAGGTCCAGGGAAATAATCTTGAGCAGGGCTTCTATTATGTAGATGCTGAGGAAAATGCAGTCAAAGGCCATGAAGTACCACTCTGAGGGAACACCAGGAACTCACTCAGGACCATCACTACCAACCTCCCAAGTCCCTCCCTCTCCCGCTCACCAGAGACTTCACACAAGCCCAAATACCCAGGCTCTCCCTGGTTCTGCCCTACGTGGCTCTGTGACTCAACCCCTCTGAGCTCAGTTTTCTTGTCTGTGAGATGACTATAACAGTCCATTTGACATTTGAATGTGTATTTAAACACATTTAAAGCCTTTTACTTGGGTGAGTCCTGGCTTAGCAAAGAGTCTGGGACAATAAATATGTGGCAAGTCCTTTCCTTTATTCTGACCCACCGTATTTTATTTCTTTTCGGTACCAGAGATCGAACTCAGGACCTTGATCTTGACAGGCAGGAGGTGGCACCACTGAGATAAATCCCCAGACCAGACCCACTGTATTTTAGCATCCAGCTTCTCCAGCTTTCTACTCTCACCCCTCTGGGGACTCCTTCTCCGGGTTCCCTGACCCTTCTAACAAACCAAGGGTTCTTGGTACCTGTCACACCTTCAGCAGCACATTTAAAGTTGAAGCGCCACCTGGTGGGTGATTGTGAACGGCATCGCCTAAAGTCCTGAGTGAGTCTGGCTGACCTAACAATATTTCTCTGTGGCTACTCTACTGACCCTGGGAAATGTCATCAACTTCCAGGAGTGAAGATCAAGTGAACCAAGGTGTATAAATCTCCTGGCATGGGATCAGGACGAAGGAGACCCTAGAGCTGCATCAGGGCCCCTTGGTTCTTACCACCCCTGATCTTGACTTCTGCAAAGGTCTGGGCCATAAGCATAATGATGTTGAGAAAGACGATGAGGAAGATGAAGGTTTCGAAGAACAGGGACTGTGTCAGACTCCTGATAATTATCCAGGGGCCCCAAAGGAGATTTCTTAATTTCTCACACAACCGCTGGAAGATGTTCATAGTGTGCTTCTTGTGGGCCCGCTGGCCTCGGCCCCCTGTAAGGTGATCAAAAAGTCACATCTGTGCAGGCAGAAAGTGGGGGGTTCTCAGGCACCCTCACAACTGGATCAGGGCTCATTATTATCCCTAACTGTTGCCCAGTATCTAATGTGCCTGTACAGTAGTGCTGGTTTGGGGGCCAGTCCCGACCTCTTCTTCCCGGGGGCTAACTTGCTTAAAATCTGGAGCTGGCTTGAGTGGATCACGAGGGCTCCTTCCACTACACTCCCGTGTCATTTTTGTCCACATGGAACTTATTTATGGGAAACCCAACCCTCTTCTCTACTCCATCCTCATGGTGCACTTCTCATTTTCCCTGTAAGATCCTGCTGAAACTTCTCTCCTTCTGGCTGCTCTTTCTGTGCCTATCCAGTAAGATATTTAATCCTCTCTCCTTGTGCATGAGATGGTTGCCATTTTTGCTGAACCCCTAGGAGGCAACTCTGGGAGATTGTTAGTTAACAGCCAAGGTCCTTCCCTGCCCTCAAATAAGGTATTCATAGGACTGGGGATTTAGCTCAGTGGTTCTGCTGCCTGCCTTGCAAGCACAGGGGCCCGAGTTCAATCTCTGGTACCAAAAAGAAAAAAAAAAAAA